GACTGGAGTTCAGACGTGTGCTCTTCCGATCTAAGCTTTCATTTGAAAAAAAGTTCATCATTTTACGATGATTTTTCGCGGAGTTACCGTTAATTAAAGTTGACCAATTTTTGCTCAAAATTTTTCTATGCCATAATTTTTTTGAGCAGTGTATATATACAAATCAAAACGGAAATAAGTCGTCTGCACCGCAGAGTTTAAAAGTATAACGGTGCGGATTTAAAAAACTCCAGTCTTGGTCGATTTGATCCTCCCGTGCCTGCACGTGCGCGCGTAAATATAGGTGTGCCACTTGGCACCGCGCGCAGAAAAGATCAAGGTGCGCAAACGAGAGCCGTTATCCGCGCGCATACGGGGTGTCCGCGAATTTCCTGGCGTTTCGAATCGGCGAACGGCCGTGACGAATTTCTCTGTCTTGTTATGCGAAACGCTGTTTCCGTAATGTGACCGGCGGAATCGACGAGACGATCAACTTCTCGCGATGCGTTTCGAATTGGGATAAGGTTTGAGCTGAAGAAAATTACGTTTTCACGGTAGAAAGGGGAGAGGGGAAAGGGATGGGGGGGAGGGTTGGGGATGGTCTCTGGAATCTCCGGCTGTGCAGAATGCGCGGGGATTAAAGCGGGGGTTGTTCACCTCGAATACCCTAAAAGACGCCGAGGATGCGAGGGAGAGGAATTTTCTATGGGGGATTTAATGGCTGGCGTCGCGACGCCGGAAAGAGGCGTCAGAAGGGTCGGTGAAACGGCTGATGAGCATCGGCTCCAGAAGGGTGCGGATATCGCTTTCCCGGATCAGAATTCGGCATTGAATCGCTCGGCAGATTATGATGAGGAAAAGGGGGCGGTTGGGCGCTCGTTCGCGAATAGCCCGCGCAGGAGTTGTGACACATAAGAACACGGTGGGAGTACGTAATCTGACTCGACTAATTTTTGGAGTACTTCATATAAGAGACCGTCTCTCCGCCGCGGTCTCGCGTTACTTCTGAATGCCACACACATGATGCTACATTTGTCAGCAACTTTCGATTTTAGCTTATCTCAATATTATAGATTCGATCGCGGTAATGAAGACGCATTGACATTCTACTATATTTAATTGTCCCAATTGTCGAGTATCCGATTATATTCCGGACGGAATTTCTCTCATTGATGATTTACAGTCTCTAGATCGTTGAGAACGATCTCGCGTGAAACGACACCGCTCATCAAAACCGACCCGCGCGTCTCTTTCTTTCACCTCTATCAAGCTAGCAGAACCAAATGAGCAGAATCAAACCGGACCTATCCAAATTTTTAGTACCCAATTTGTACTAATTTGTACCACCAATAAAAATTTTGTGCCGTTTTGAAGAAAAACGTGGCGCTGCTAGCTTTATATTAAGCTAGCAGGATCACAAAAAAAAATTAAAAAATAAATAAATAAAAGTATGTATAATTAGTACTGATTTTGTACTAATTTGTACCACATAAAATAAATTAATATTTCAAACTTAATTAATATAATCATTACCTTATAATATATCTTTTCTTTCAATTTCTTTTAAGAGTCAAAACTCTTTTCCTTCAGCAAAATCGAACGATACTGCTCTTGTTCAATGTGCAATAATTTGTATTATACAATATGATATTCAAACTTTGTATCCCCCCCTCCCCTCGAACTATCTCTAACTCTTGATAATATC